GAAAGGCATGACAGAGAGATAAAGAGAGATTGAGAGGGTGACTGATATGAGCACAGATATCAGGTAATTACACTTCTGGCTAAAATAAACTTTTCTCTTCAGTAACCCACAGTCTGATGGGCCTTTTAACTCATTTTGCCTGCTTACCTGTCTCTGTCACACACTTATTCCCAACCCCCACCTCTCTTCCCCATTCTGTATAATATCATTGCATCATGTCAGTCTAACATTTTAAACATTATTATATAACCAACCCCTGAATGTGTGGATTTTTCTACATGACCCATCTACACACATACACAGACACAGACACAGACACACACACACACACACACACACACACACACACACACACACACACACACACACACACACACACACACAAATAAATCATACCCTCTCCTGCTCCTAGGCTGTACCTCGTGTTGATCGACCTGGACTGAACAGTTCAAACATGATAGAAACAAGTCCGTCTAAAGTTGAATCTTTCCCTCTTAAATCCCCCATCATTCATCACTCTTAATCCTTTAAAACCCTCTCTCACCTCAGAGTCAAGACATGAGCAGTAAAATATCACACGCCACCATATTTCACAGCACAACATGGGGTTCAGCTCTCTGCTAAGCTTAGTGCTGTCAGCATCTTGGCTGTGAAACCGTCCTGTTAGTTTATTCTTCTGACGGCCATAAACAATATTTTAGCTAGTAAACTTAAACAGCATGTAAACTCTTCTTTGTTACATAACGGATTAATGGATAAATACAAGGGTGTAAAGTTGATGGTTGCTATTTTTCCAACCTGCAGACACCTGTTACCACAAACTGACTAGAATTCTCAAAGTATTTTGATTGCTTGTTGCTGTTCTGTTAAAATGTGAAAATATTGCACAGTGTAGGAGGCTAATATATAGGAGAAAATGGTATTCTGTCATTTCTTCATTCATGCTTTTCAAAAATGATTGCTCTGGCATGAACGCAACTCAGGAATTGAACGGCTTCGGCTAAATAAAGTCTAAATTCTTATAATAATACACAAAGACGGATTTATAATTCTGTACAAAAACCACGGAAACTCACTGCTTGGTGGCACTGTGGCCTTTTCTCATAGACCAACCCTGTCTCACAGAAATTACGTTTTTGCTTCTATTTTGCAACAACAAATACATTTTTGAAGGACATTACATTTTTACCAACATGAAACCAACTTATCTGGCAAGTTGTGAAATGCGGATACTGAATGTATCTGTTAAACACTGACACCAATCTTCACCTACAATAACTGCTGCTTTTATGGCTAACAGCAGCACTTGGTTAAGGTTATGGAAAGATTGTCTACTGTGGCCGGAAGCACGACACATAACATGATGACTGTATTGGCATTTAACTGAAAGCACAATCTTTCAGTCCCCCTAACCGAACTGCTTTTATTACCTAAACTGAATCACCTAGAGAAAACCCTTATGAAATCAAACACACAAGCATGAACCACAAAGGAGGTACATTTGTCTTAATATGAGGCGTCGCTTCTGCCTCTTTCTCTTTTCTGCCGCCTGCGCTAACCTCACAGACCACACAACCATTAACCGTTCTCATCCTGCACTGATACACGGATTTGTGTATATGTTTTTCTGGCTTTTCAGTTCTGGTGTTCAATGTCTGATAACCAAACAATTCACCATGTTCCAAAGTAATTTTGCTGTTTTAGGAAAAAACAAACAAACCTATAGTTACAGGTTACAGGTAGAGTAGTTAGTAGTAGTCAGATTTTAAGATTTTTCACAGAAACTGCATCAACAAATAGGATCAGCATTCTCATCTTTAAAATAACCAAGACAGGCTGTACATACAGCGTGTTGGATAATATGGTGATTAACGCATTTCAAAGGTTCAGTGAGCATGTTAGCCCAAGTTTTTGGTGTTTATGTCACACTCTGCTGAGCTGAGCTCATCCACCGGAAGATTTTGGCCTTGGTGTGTGTATGCGTTTGTGTTTTAGGCACAGCAGGGAGCTGCATCCATACGTGTGTGTTTTATGTTTCTTTGAATTGGAGGCTGTGGCCCCCAACAGTCTCATTAACTGAACTTTACCCACAGGAAGGAGCGCTTGACAAAAGAATAAAGAAAATAAAAGCAGAGTGGCAGAGAAGGAAGTCAGATGGAAAAGGAATAAAGAGGGTTAGAGGAAAGAAAGGGAGAGAAAAGCACAGGGTGAAAATAGATGAAGGGGATTATAGGAACACATTTCCCACGTGGTGATATTCTTCAAATCCCAGTAGATGTACCCACAATATCAAATCTCTTACCAATAAGTAATTCTTCAGGAAGTCTATTATGCTATCTATTCCTTAACTTTGATGCAATCTATACTTTAAGCTTTGGTTCCTTATTTTAGAGTTAATGTTAGTAATTATGTGATGTGCATAGACATATTCCACTACAATCCTTGTGATGGGGGACAGTGGGGGTACAGCTGATGCACCAGCTCAGAGGCTGATGGTATTTGGTCAATTACCAAATTAACTTATTTTGACCTGTTGGTGGTGCTAGATGAAAAGTTGGGATCACCAAAGTTATTCCAATTATCCTGAGGGGGACATGGATGTGTGCACATAATATTTTTTAAGACTTCACTTAAAGCTACCAATGTCAAACTCATGGTGACACTAGAGGAAAAGTCAGGGGATTGCCAAAGTTGTTTCATTCTCTGGGGAGCATGAATGGCTTTACAAACTTTCATGTCAATCCATCCAATAGTTGTTGAGATGTATGAGTCTAGACCAGTGGTGGATCGACCGACAGGCCGGCATTGCAATCCTTAGAGGGTCAAGTGCTGTCAAGTGTTAACTTTATAACCCAGTTTTTTCATTAACCATACAACTCCTGTCAGTGTGACAGTTATGACACCATAATGGCAGTCATATGCAGTAATTTAGGATCAACTGCATCACATGACAAAATGTTCCATCTACAGTTAAAATTACATAAAATAACCTCAGTTTGGCAGCACACACACACACACACACACACACACACACACACACACACACACACACACACACACACACACACTATGACTTATTAACTTTCATTGTTCTCTGTAGTATCACTTCCTGCTGTTCTGTTTTTGCCTAACTTAAATAAATACATGTGAAGCTTCACATAATTTAAATGGGTGAGTTATATAAGAATTCATCCCCTGTACAGTTGTCATGAACATGGAATTTTGTGTGTGAGGCTATAAACTGCTGTGAAGTATTTATATTACATATTTTAATATGAGGCCTTTATTTCTCAGCCACAGAGGTTGCCACTTGGTTATATGGTGTCACAGGAATGTAAACATATTTCAATATGGCAAAGGTCTATCATCAGGTTCTTTTTACTGTAAATGTGTTGACCCAGCGCACATGTTTCTGAATCTGGACTTCAGTAATGGATGGATATAAGACATATTCAAACACAGAAGTGAACAATTTGTCTTTCTCTCTCACTTTCCTTATTTTCCACAAATCTTGTGCAAACAAACCAAGATCACATCTGTATGGAGCCCCTAAAGGGACATGGGGAAAAAAAAAAAAAATGAAACGTTTCTAGTGCGCACTAGATACTATCTTGTGAGCACTAGATACTATCTTGTGAGCACTAGATACTATCTTGTGTGCACTATGTAGTGCGCACTAGATACTATCTAGTACTATCTAGTACAATCTAGTGTGCACTAGATACTATCTAGTACTATCTAGTGTGCACTAGATTTTTACTATCTAGTGTGCACTAGATACTATCTTGTGCGCACTATCCTTATCTAGTGTGCACTAGATATGGATCCCCTGTTGTGGCGAATCAACACATGGCTAATTTTAATATTCAAATGAGTATTAAACTAATTTGTCTGTAACTAAAAAATAAATGTAAATTAATCTGTAACCTTTTTTGTTACAGCCCGCATTTAAATGCCCTGTCCTGCAGCCGGACACTCATTTGTCCTCCTTTTGAGAAAATAACAAAAACGGTCGCCTATTGACACATTAACTTGTTAGTTTAATACTTATTGGCTTAAAATGTGTGTCAAAATAATTTCATTGGTTACATTTTCGTGTGGTGACCTATCAACACATGGCTAATTTTAATATTCAAATGAGCCATGTGTTGATTGCCACAATGCTATCCTATCTAGTGGGCACAAGATAGTATCTAGTGCTCACAAGATAGTATCTAGTGCGCACTAGAAACGTTTCATTTTTTTTTTTTTTTTTTTTTCCCCCATGTCCCTTTAGGGGCTCCGTACATCTGCAATCCTGCAAGAGTGTGAAACTGACACTGTAAACTTTACTAGTATTTCTTTATCAATACTTCATAAACTGACCAGTTCAAATGTGTTGAATATTGTAGTTTTATTTAAATAATGTACTAAATCAAGTTAAAGTAAATCTGGCAGATAAGTATATATCTGTATTCTGTCTTTAAATAATTCCATTTTAAAATGTAATAAAAAAAACATTTAATTTCTTTTTCTTTTTTTTACTTTTTGTTATTCCATTGACTAATGTGCGTCCGTAACGGTTTACAGTTATTGGTCCTTTGCCTTATCATTTACAATCTCTATGTTAATTTAAACCGTGCTATTCCAGGTATGAGGTTTGGTAATGCTTACACATCAAAGTCAGTAAAGAGATGAGGAGAGATAAGCAGGATTGGGAAGAGGTCTCATTACCCTTCCACCCTGACTGGGTCGAAGGGTAATGAGGGTTCAATGAGCTGCATGTGTAATAAAAAGACATGGAGGGGAGCAGTGAACAGGTGCTGACCATGTGTACAGGGGCTGTGAAATCTCACACACACACACACACACACACACACACACACACACACACACACACACACACACACACACACACACACACACACACACCTCTAAGTTGGTGCATTCACACAGAGAGATTCAGAGTCAACTTGAAAATAAACTGTAGTCGCCATATTGAAGTCCAAAATATCATTAAAGATGTTAAAAGTGTTCTGGTTTGGCAATGTAAAACATTTAAAATCTGTTTTAAAGTCCATTGGAGGAAGAAAGACCAGTCTCTCCTGCACCCAGCAATGTTTCCATGAGAAGTGACTAGTCCAAGAATGAACCAACCAACTTCAATGAAGGAGAACTGGGGTAAGATATTGAGGCTAAGTTGGTGCATTCACACAGAGAGATTCAGAGTCAACTTGAAAATAAACTGTAATCGCCATATTGAAGTCCAAAATATCATTAAAGATGTTAAAAGTGTTCTGGTTTGGCAATGTAAAAACATTTTAAATCTGTTTTAAAGTCCATTGGAGGAAGAAAGACCAGTCTCTCCTGCACCCAGCAATGTTTCCATGAGAAGTGACCGGTCCAAGAATGAACCAACCAACTTCAATGAAGGAGAACTGCGGTACGACATTTTGGTTATGTTGGTGCATTCGCATAGAGAGATTCAAGGACAAGTTTGTTATTGTCACTTAAATCAGTGCTAAAGCAATCAATCTGTGCTGAAGCCTGCTTGAGTCTTAGCTAATGTTGGAAAAACTACTTGTGCGTGACAAAGACAAAGTAACAATATGAAAAAATGACAAACCAGAACAGTTAAGCTTGGGAGATGCATTTCACCTCAAACATAAATAATTAAACTAATCTTTGTCACAGTAAATGTACTTTCTGTATTGACACAAACATGAAATATTTTGTCTGTGCTGAAGCCCTCCCCAGTCACAGAGAACAGTCTCAACTTCCGTGGAACCTGACCAGTTAGAAGATGGCGGTGACGCGAGCAAAGGTACAAGGAACAACACAAAAACTTTATTAGCTTTACAACTAAAACATTTTTACAAATTAATTAAAACGAAACACAAAACATTGCAAATTCATACAGACATTTAACTGCAGGTATAACACACTTTTAGGGACAATTCATGATACTTGATTCACAGTACAATTTTCTGACAATTTCTTGATCAAAATGAGATTGGAACTCAAATTATGACAAATTCATCAGATTATGAAAAAGATTTTCTCAGACAAAAGCCTTAAATTCTCTTTATCAAATCATAGATTCCTCCTATATCTGAGGTAGAGTATAACTGTGTGAAACAATGTGTATTTCCTTTTGTTAAGTGAAACTGACGTCTTTGAGCCTTCATACAAAGATATCATGATTAATTTTTCATCTGACCAATTTGAATCTTCACATATTTGTTATTTGTTAACAGTCTCCTGATACATGTTTGTATTCCTACCTCATACATCACGTGACATGGAATTATATAGCTTGCATTATATTTTTTAGGAGTGTAAACAATGCAATTACAGCATTTTTCTTTCTTTGTATTATCTTTATCATTTCTTTAGACAAAGACGTCAGAGATGAACTCACAGCAGCCTTGAAGAATAGAATCCTCAGTCACTATGAAGATAAACTTAGAAAACATGAAACTGACACAGAACTCTATGGGACAGAAGAAAAAAACAACAAAGCACAAACCTATGATGCAATATTTCAGAAGTCAAAGAAAGAAGAAGTGCGAACAGTGTTAATGAAAGGAATTGCTGCTGTTGGTAAAACATTTCAAACAAGGAGGTTCATGGTGGACTGGGCAAAAGGAAAAACCAACAACAACATAGACTTGATAGTGCCATTTCATTTCAGCGAGCTCCATACAAGAAGAGACAAAGTTCAAAGCTTGAAAGATCTTCTTAATTCTGTCGATGACAAACACAGAAGCTTTTTCATGTATAATGAGTGTAAAGTAGTGTTTGTCCTTGATGGCTTAGAAGAATGTGAACTTCCTCTGGATTTTGAAAACAACAAAGAACTGACTGACATGGAAGAGTCAGCCTCAATGGATGTGCTGTTAACAAGCCTCATCAAGGGGAAACTGCTTCCCTCTGCTCATCTCTGGATCATCTCTCAACCTTCAGGAGTTGATAAGATTCCTCCTGAATATATTCAGAAAGTGACTGAATGTCGAGGTATAAAACAATGACAGTAAAATATTTTCATTACTCATACTTAGTATTGTGTGATCCGTATCATGTGCCATTTTGTCAGGCTGGGATTTTCTTACTATGAAATAATGCAAAAGCTGCATCCAAAATATTATAATGTTATGGAAAACATCTGATAAACTTTTATAAGCTTCATTTCAAACAAATGTGCTTCAATTAAAAATTTAATATTTAAAAACCCTACTTAAAAATCTTATTTTGGTCTTACTTGCGGATTTTGTTGTACTATAAATCAATTTTGGTGGCTATGTTCTAAAAGTAAATAATTCATGCTACATATACTGTTACCTTCATCAATAATATTCTGACCTTTGTTCTGTTCATTCAGAAACCTCAAAGCGACGGCAGAAGCTGATATCAAGACTGAAAGAAATATTACGTAAAGAAAACACTCAAGATGAAGAAATAAATCATCCAAACCAGAAAAACACAGAGCACATCATCAGAGAAGACAGAAGAAGTGAGGTTGACGATGAAGCAAGAAATGGACGAACTGTGAAACCAGTGAATCAAGTATCTGACATCTTCAAAGCTGCAAAGGGACAAACAATGAGAACTGTGCTGACTGTTGGAGAACCTGATATTGGGAAAACCTTCCATGTGCAGAAATTTTAAAAAAAGTGGGCTAAAAATGAGAAAAAGTCTCTTTTCACACTGGTTCTGGATTCAGCAAAAGCTGATGAAGTTATATTTCCACTTAACTGCTCCAAGCTTAATTTGATAAAAGAGGAAAAATTCAGTTTGCTTGGACTTCTTAATCATTTCTTCAAGGAAACAAATTAATTTGTAATCTCGAACTTTGAGCAGTTCAAAGTTTTATTTGTCTTGGATGGACTGGATGCTTATACACCTCCTCTTGACTTTAAAGACAACACCACCTTAACTGATGTCAGAGAGCGAGCTTCAGTGGGTGTGCTGCTGACAAACCTCATCCGAGGAACCCTGTTTCCATCTGCCCGACTCTGGATCACATCTCGACCATCAGCTGCCAATCAGTTGCCTGATGACTGTGTCGACAGGACAACATAAATACGATGTAAGATTATGGGTGTGGATGAAGGCAGTCAAGGGAAGCTACTGAATCCAAGCATGTTTGAAATGTCTTAATCAGTGTTTTAAAATCAAGCAATGGTCACAAGGTAGCAATAATACTCAAAATAGCCATCTCTCTATAAAAGCAAGAAATCTCTGTCTGTCTGTGTGTGTGTGTGTGTGTGTGTGTGTGTGTGGCTGTGTGTGTGTATGTGTGTGTGTGTGCCTCAAATATCTCTGCAGATCAGGATCATACTGACCTGAGAGTTTCAACATGGCTGTTGTGTAGTTTAAGGGTGTGCAACGTCGGCTTTGTCCGACTACAAAGATACCGTTAATAAATCATTTCATAAATGATTTACGAATTCCGCTAGCATTACCATAGCCACCATAGCCACGTGCGCACCAGAGCCAATCACTGCAGAGCCCTAATGTGTAGTGATTGAGATCCTGACCCACCAAACATCCTGGAAAGTGACGAGGTTACGTTTTTCACTCTAAATTACATAATTATACATAATCACCAGCAGTGAACTGGACGCTGTTTGACTCCCTCACTCGCAAGACAGAGAAAGATGTCCCACCTTCAAACACAACCTTATTTGGCCATGAAAAATCTACTTAACCTCCCACTTTTCTATAGCAATACATATTTCCTACAGGCAGTGCACTAGTTAAATTAAAAAGAACCCTGAAAAACACCCACTTTTTTTGTAAGGCTTCTAATAACATAGACAGTATGTCAAAGAGATGTCGGTCAAATCAAACCAAATTTATGCTGTAAATTAGAGGTAGTGTTACACTAGACTTCTATATACTGAAAGGCCTTTATTATGTTTGCCTAGCCCATTTTACACACATGAGAGGGACAAGGCTTACAGTATTCTAATATTGACTAAAGAGAATCATGAGGCACCCCTCTCCAGATGTGATGCAATTTTAACAACAGAATAGTAGAAAAGTAATTATAAAGAATAATGATACATTTGAAATAATTAATGCACCTTAGATTTAATGAGCTGCACTATGATTGTACTCCAAACATTTAAACACAGTTTATCTATTTCTTTCCACAATAACTTTTGCTACTTTCCTACAGGTAAACCTGATGTTGTAAGTCAAAAGAAACTCAAATCTCAGCTGAAGGAGCAATTTACCCTTGTGACTGAGGGGATCGACAGGCAGAAAACCTCTGCCCTTCTCAAGGAGATTTTCACAGATCTCTACATCATAGAGGGTGAGAGGGGAGAAGTCAATGTTCAGCATGAAACCAGACACGTTCAAGGTGCAAAGTTCAAACCAGTGACACAAGATTATATATTTAAGAAAATGGAGGTAAGATGATCAATTTAGTATAAATGTATTTGGAAGGAGAAGAAGTTTGAGTAAATAGAAGTGACTACCGATATAAATTAGATTATATAAATGTAATAAATATCTAGAATTAATATAGTTTGTATTTAAATATTATAATGTTTAAATTATATATAATGTATTTTTAAACGATGTCCTCTTTAGCCTAATATAAGCAAATTTAAAGCTATTGTGTTGTAAAGTGTGTAAATGTATAAGTGAGAGTGGTTAACAAATACTGAAATCTTTTATACTAGCTAACGTGACTTTAAAATAAGAATCTACGTATTTTTCAACTTGTTTAACTGTTGATAGTATATTTATAAATTGCCATAATTAACAGCTATATCCTTTAATGCTACTGTTCAGTATCGCCAGTCCGCTCCCCCCCTGAAGATACGATTCTGTATAATATAACTGTTTTAACTAGCTGTTAAATTTTCATGTAAAATTTTAAGTTATCAAATAATTGTTAAAAAAAAAAAAAGCATTAACTAACAATTACGTTTTTATGTACTAAAGTTATTATTAATGTATTTATATATTTGTTAGCTTGTGCAAACAACAAGCAACAAAATATACTTACTGGAGAAACAGTGTTATGTTGAATTTACTTAGCTGGCTTCTTTTTTTGAAATTTTTTAATTAAATATCATGACATTTCTTCACAACCAGTTTCTTTTTTTTAGAAAATATACCCGTTAGAACTGTGCTAACGATCGGAGTGGCAGGCATCGGAAAGTCATTTGCTACAATGAAGTACAGACTGGACTGGGCTGAGGGTACCGCCAACGAGGACATCTTTTTTATGTTTCCAATTTCTTTTCGGGAGCTAAATTTGAGAAAAGAGGAAGACCATAGCTTGGAGAAACTTCTTAATATGTTTTTCCCAGCTATGGAAACATCAGAAATAACAGACTATGACAAGTACAGAATTCTGATTGTCCTGGATGGTTTTGATGAATGTCGCCTTAATCTTGACTTCACTGAAAGGAACAGTTGCACAGATGTGAGCGAGACAACCTCACTGAATGTTCTGCTGACAAACCTCATCCAAGGAAATCTGCTTCCTAAAGCTCAAATCTGGATCACGTCCCGACCTGCAGCATCCAACAATATCCCTCCTGGTAAAGTGGACCGGGTTACAGAGGTGCGAGGATTCAATGATGAGCAGAAGGAGAAGTACTTTATGAAGAGATTCAGTGATAAAGATCTGGCTGAGAAAATCTTGTCACATGTCAAGAAATCAAGGAGTCTTTATATCATGTGTCACATCCCTGTCTTCTGTTGGATCACATCAAAAGTTCTGGAAGACCTTATGAACAAAGACGAAGAAGGGATGATGCCCAAGACTCTGACTGACATGTACATACACTTTGTTTTGTTACAATGCCGACAGGGTAAAGTGAAGTATGGTGGAGATGAGACAGGTGAGAGCTCTGAGACAGATTCATGCTGCTATACAAGCAACCGGGAAACAGTCATATCTCTGGGGAAACTGGCCTTCCAGGGGCTAGAAGAAGGAAACCTTCTCTTCACTGAAGAAAACTTGAAGGAGTGCGGTGTTAACATCACAGAGACTGCAGTCTTCTCTGGATTATTCACTCAGATTAAACGAGAAGGCTGTGGGTTGTCCCAACAGAAATTGTTCTGCTTTGTCCATATGAGCATTCAAGAGTTCCTGGCAGCTTTTCATGTCTTTCACACATTCAATGACAAAGGTGAAAATCTGCTCACAAAACCCGCTTCAACAGTTGCTGCCTCTGACTTCTACAAGACAGCAGTGGACATGGCTTTAGATAGCAAAAATGGAGACTGGGATCTGTTTCTCCGCTTCCTGCTAGGCCTCTCTCTGGAGACCAATCAGAATCTACTGCAAGAGCTGCTGAACAAGACAGAAAATAACGAGGAGACCAACAAGGCAACAATCCAGTACATCAAGGAAAGGATTAGGGATGAAAACAGTGATCCTGATAAAAATTGCAATCTTTTCCACTGTCTGAATGAGCTGAATGATCACTCTCTAGTGGAAGAAGTAAAAACGTACCTGCACTCTGAAACACACACATTTGAAAATTTCACCCCCTCACAGTGGTCAGCTCTGACCTTTGTGCTGCTGACATCTGATGAGGATCTTGATGTGTTTGACCTGAAAAAGTACCTGAAATCAGAGAAAGTTCTGCTGGGAATGTTGCCGGTGGTCAAAGTCTCCAAAACTGTTTTGTAAGTACTTTCAACAATTATGCTGTCTCTGAAATGATCTTGCATTTCAAAACTGAAGTCTGTTTACCTTTTCCATGATGGCCATGGAAAATAGAATAATGGGCCCATGTTTTGTTGATACACAAAGTGAAATGTGCCATTAGTGGGGTGAAGCTCTGTTGCTAAAAGGTGACCTATCATTATGTCCTGCAGTTTGTACCAGATTGTGCTCACAAAGTTGCAAGACTTTTACCACAATTTGCCTGTCTCACACACATTTCTTTTATCTGAGACTAAAACCCTTAAGTTGGCACAGAATCACCCTCAAATCTGGTCTGGTGAGCAGTGGTTTTAAATCTGAGAAGAGATGTGATATATAATACTCTGTCTTCAAGACAGGTTTGGGTTTGATGCCAGTTTCTTCAAATATAGCTTGAGTTGAAGAGTATCCAAACGCAAACAAGACTGTGTCACCATAACATTTTTTAACCATGACTGATGTGTGTGAATTGTGCACCAACTATACTACTACAAGATACTCAGAAGGCTGCTTTCTTAAACAAATAACTTTTTAACTAATATTTTATATTAAATATATTTTAATTAAGTTAATTATTCTTTACTATGTTCAATAATTTAACATATACATTTTAAACCAATTCTAACTGCTGTTGAAAACGAAGGAACAAGATTCGGTGGAGACAATGGGGGAGCCATGAGAGGATGTCTGGCTAGCAGATGGAATTTCTGCTTGTCAAAGGCCTCATACCTGCTGGCTAGCTAGAGTACCTGAGCTGCAGGAGGGAGCAATGAGTGTTTTCCACTGTGTTGTGTAGCACAGGTACTTAAAATACACAAGCCGACAGTTTACTGAAATTTTATTTAGACAATACACATAACACATATTAGAACCAGTGAATAGTCCTGCAGGTAACAAAAAAAAAGTAAAGTATAACTCACTTTCCTTTTTTTCCCCTCACCTAGGTTTGAAATAATTTGGTTTAGTTTTTATATAAAAAACCAAACAATATTAACTGCTTAACAGTATGTTTATAGCTTTTCCCAGTTACACTGTTAGCGCTTCGGTAGCGTTCATTATATTGCAACAAAGCTTCAACGAAAAGAATTGAAACTTACCAAAACCATGGTGGTTTACTCGTATAAAATTCTCACGAATCTCCGACCAAGCAGGTGTTACTTTTCAGCTTCTAAATCAGCTTTTCATTAAAGTATTGCGCTAGTTAATTTCTCTGCTTCTCCTCTCTGCTCTGTGCTCGCTCTCCCTTGTTGCTATGTCAACAAATGGCAACGAGTCTCTTAAAGGGGAAGTTCATGAGAATTTCTTACAGCCATACTTTTAACTGTTTATATTAAATTACAGCTTAAGTTTTTAATTGATCCTTACATGAATGCATTTTAATGAAATTAATTACTTCTATTGTACTTCAGTTGTCCCAATTTTGACAACATAACAAAGGTATGGGTGACAGAGTGGAGATTTTATTGGTATGGGTGACAGAGTGGAGATTTTATTGTGTGGAGTCCTAGATGTTGCTTTTCTGACTTCCTGTGTCGTGATGAATTCAGAATGGGGCATGGTCTAGTTCAGTTCCCCTAGGAGGCAGCAGGACCCAGGGCCACAAAGGAATTGATTCTTTAATCTGGTCTGACATGTTCCCTTCCACCTCTGAGGTTTTTTGGCTCTAGTCTCTTGTGGATGGGTTGTACATTGTACAACAGTTGGTGTAAATTTGGTGTAATCGCAATGCGACTACTAATGTAAATAAAAAGTAATAGTTTTGAGAGAGCTCTCAAGAGTGAGGATATTCAAATCAAGGAGCAGTTGGGGGACAGAGATAACACAACTGATGGACAGACACGCATACACTCAGTGTCAGATGAGACTGGAGGGTATCACATGTTCAGGAAAACAAGAAATGACCTCACGGTTTTCTCACTTTCCATTATCCAAATGTATTAAACAGTTAACCTGCACAGCAGCGACTGAGATTCACTTCCTGTCTGTGGTGTTTCTGTCTTGAGGAATCATGATTTTGCTACTCCACTAGTGACTCTGTGTCTTTATCACTGCAGATGTTTCTGATTTCTGATAACACATATGTTCACAGGTTGAGTTGGTGTGAGCTCTCTAAAGAATCCTGCAAAGGTCTGTCATCTTCAGTCCTCAGCTCCCCGTCTAATCTCACACAGCTAGACCTGAGTCATAATGACCTGCTGGATTCAGGTGTGCAGATGATTGCTGATGGCCTAAAGAGTCTTCACTGTAAGCTGGAGATTCTAAAGTAAGTGTTCATTACATTTATTGTATTGTGAGTTACAGAAAACCTACACAGTATCATCAACAAGAATGGTGGGTTGTTATGAGTAGTTTTAGGTATATGTGACCCCACCCAGGTTACAACGCGGACTGATACCCAGAATAGAAGTATACCAGCCCTAGACACCAACCATCTGAGCGTTGACACAATTTTTAAAGGGTTCAAGAAAAGCGGGAGACGTGCATTCAGCTCTCCAATAATATTAAAAATAAATTATACTGGCCTGAAAAAGAAGAGAGAAACCATAAAACTAGTCAAAATTAGTTTATTCCACAATACTAAAATGGTCGAAACAACCAGTATATAAATAGCAAATGGCTTCACCATAACATAACATACAATAAGATTAAATGGTCACGGGAAATAGGCAGAACAGGGTACTCACCGCGGGGAGACTATCACCCAATAGAAATCATCTTGTGTGCACACTGATCACTACAAACACTACAACTTGCACTGCAAGGAAAGCCAAACCTACAAACCAGTGAAGTGACCACTACCCTTCAAACATACCACACTGCATGCAAGGAGGGGTGCATATTCCACGACTACTCCCCGCAGGTCGTCCCACTGCCTAATCAAAACAAAAGACGGAAAATACAATGAGATTCAGTTGGCTCAGATTCACAGACATTCAGGGTCACTACACCCAATATAAAAAGACAATATTCAACCATCTACAGATTATTTAAGTTGTACAGTCTGTAACACATTCGCCAACCGCCTTGGCGAACTGGCTCAGGCAAAGCAGCAGTCTGGCCTTAAATCTGTAATAAGGGGAAAGAAAAACATAAAAGTCAGTCTCATCAGCTGACAACAACATACCTCAGAGGGCATGACCCTCCTACATTACCATACTGGTTCCAGTTACCCTGTTCATGTGAGGCTCTGCTAAGAAGCCACGCAACAGTTGAAAGCTCTACTCTGGCTTAAAAGGGGAGATGGAGGAGCTGAGTCTTTGCCTGAAGAGATTTTATCATATTAGTGATATATCTACAGTTTAATGAAGCCCCAAAGTTCACTGAGACATACCTCTTCAGCACAGGGCTACAGAGCATGCTCCATCTGGATCACTCAGGACAGTCACACCACAACTAAATATACAAAAAAATCTCATTAGATTTCTAATAAGGCAATATAACATTTTCCTCCTCCTCTCTCCCTTACCTGCATGACACAGCAATCCTGCCACACAACCAGGCCTCAGACAAAGAGGCACTAATTGCCCTCACCTGTCCTTATGAAGGCGGGGAGCTCCCTCTGACTCTACCTAACAGGGCGGTGCTTTAGATTTAGATGCCAGCCCCTCACATATAGTTACTCACATATAGCCCCTCACATATAGTCTCACATATAGCCCCTCACATATAGTCCATTAAGCAGAGAAGAAAAAGTTTTGGTGAAGTACATTTATGTCAGAATGGAATACAAACTCCCAAAAAGGCAAGTGAGTGCTCGTCCTTGCACCAGCTCCTTAAATACCCTGCTAGGGAGTTAATGTGCTCATGTTTGCATAAAATTGCAAAAACCAGATTACCCAAGGAATCCACCCAATTCACTAGCTTCTGTAACTCCATGCGTTCTCAAATTGAACATTACTATTATCAATCTTACTGAAAAAAAAAAAAAAAAAAATTGGCCTATACCCTGGTCTGGGTATTGGTAATTGGTTGCAGGGTGTCCATTAATTCCCCAGTGAAACTGTCTGTTTATCAGGATGGCGACTGTAACACACAAGCCCCCACACTGCCCCTCTGAACTTACTGATACTTTGTATAAGCAATCCTCCTACATCCTGTCCTCTATTCAGTTCGCTATTTTAGGTCCTATCGTTCAGGAAAATCTTGATATTGATTTGCGCACAATGAAAAGGCTGGATAGCTAGCTGGTCTAGTAATTATACATGCTGTCAAATTATATGTACTGTTTGTCCACCATGCACAGTGTAATTTTTATGAGGTTTTCTTACCTTTGGAAAATAACCTGGATTCAGTTTCCTTTCAGCTCCCCATAAAACACATTGTTATCATAACTGTACCAAGATAGCCAGGATAAATGTGCCCACTAATATCAATTATTTCTTTCTTTTTTTACAAAAAATGCTTGAGAAAAAGAATGTCAGTTCATCCAGTGTAGCATTTGATCATCAAACCTTTATACAATTAACATTAATACAATGGCCATGGAAAATAAATGTTTCATCAGGTATAAACTGCAGGTAACTATAACAATTACACTTGAAGCTGTGTTACTGCATGATTTTCAATGGCGCGCGTGTGTGTGTGTGTACATGTTTGTGTGTGTGTACATTTTTGTACTCTGCAGGTTGTCAGGTTGTCAGGTGACAGAGAAAGGTTGCTTATCCCTGGTCTTAGCTCTTAAGTCAGAGAAAAAGTCATCCCTGAAACAGCTGGATCTGAGCTACAACCACCCAGGAGCCAATGGAAAGATGGAGCTCACTGCTATAGCAGAGGATCCAAATATGAGCCTGAAGGAACTCTGGTATGTTAAGATGTCAAGATGTGCACATCTGTGGTGATATAGCTGATTCCTCTAGTCTTGAGACTAGATCTATACACTCTACCAAAATCAATAATCACTTGTGGTGTTGATAAAAGGAAATGTGCAAAGCCAGAAACCTCACTGTGACCCCATTTGCACTTGACATTAACATGCAATCTGTATCTGGATATACTATCTTGATGAAGGAAAAACGCATGTTACAGTGATGCAAGGTGTAAATGCACAGAGAACCCATTGTGACAATCAGTACCGCATGACCCCGTTTTTAAGAAAGATATCCATCCAACATGCTGAAAATCAACTAACACTGCCTCTTACTGCGGGCTTATACAAGCCTGATAAAAGCTATAGGTTGCTAGCAGGTCTTCTATTGCAAAAAAATTAAAAAGAATAATGCCTGGTAGAGCTGCCACCCAATGTACCAAGGCGAGTCCTTGCTGCAGCACCCATGGGTTCGAGTCCGACCTATGGCTCCTTTCTGTCTATCTCAAGCCTTAGCAATCAGCAACTCTATCTCTGTGGTTGCCAATCTTTTTGGCTTAAAGTAAAACTCTATCTTCTTGTGACCTCCTCATCACAGGTTGCAAATATCGCTCTGTTCTGCAAACGTTGTTTTTATTTTAGAGGTTTTAACACAAAAGGCTTTTGAAAGCATTGTATTCAATTTGGAAATTTTTGTTTGTGACAACACTGTCTTCATGTTTTTGTAGTTTGGACCATGATGGAGAGCATCGGTTAAAGCCAGGACTGAAGAAGTGTAAAAAGTATTTTTCTGGAAATTATTTCCAATAATTTATCACCTCTGTAGAAGCTTTGACTCTATGCTAATGTCTGATACATTTGAAATGAATGTCAAATAATATGTCTTTGTCCCTAAACTTAACTGGTCATATAGGTTCCAATAACGTATTAACTATTACATGGTCATTATATTGTTCAGATAATTAAAACTTTCAAATCCAATTCAACATTTCAAACAATTCATATTCACCTTTCTTTAGATTTCATTTTTAATTTATGTTGTTTGTATTTCATTTAAACAACATCAATGTTTTATAGTCTTTTAACTGCACAAAAAACACTAAACACAGACACTCAAGCACTGAATTATATAATCTTTGTTTCTCTATCAGATGGTGCAGATCTGAAGCTTGATGAAAACACAGCAAGCAAGAGGCTTGTTTTTTCTGAAGGAAACAGGAAAGTAAAAACTGTAGGGAGGGTGGAGGAGAAGGTGGAACGACCTGAAAATGAGGACCGGTTTATGAGATCTCAGGTCATATGTGAGGAGGGTCAGAAGGGCCTCTGCTACTGGGAAGTGGAGTGGAAAGGGACGGTCGGCATTGTAGTGACATATAGAGGAGTGAGCAGAAAATGGGACAGTAGTGGTGGCCTGGGATGCAATGAGATGTCCTGGAGTCTGATCTGCTCGAAGACTGGATACACTGCCAGACATGGGAAGACATCCAGACATATTAAAGGGCCCCCTTGCCACAAAATAGCAGTGTTACTAGATTGGGAAGGTGGTACTGTGACTTATTACAGTGTCACATCTGGAAAGCTGAGCCTCATACACACCTTCGAAGCCAAATTCACAGAGCCCCTCTTCCCAGGCTTCTGGTTTGAGAGCGGCTCTGCGACTTTGTGTGAGATAGACTGAACCCCTCTGTGATGTCGTCATGTAGTGATCACTCAATGCCCCACTTGACATTTTGATAGATTAGAGAAAAGTATACATGCATCATTTTATTACCATAATGTGGAACATGACTATATCATGTTGTTTTTCTACCCGTTCATATTGTAAGTCTTTATATTAACATTGTGACAGAAGACATGAAGTAACATAAATCCCAAGTTGTTAATGTAAGTTAATGATGTGATGAAGAAAACTCTTTTTTGTAAAACTAATGTATATATTTTACCTGTTTCGCATTTGTTTCAGAGCATGTTGTCAAAACATTTACTTGCCAGTTAACTTTTTTTTTTTACTAATGTGTATAATGTATATTGTGTTTGTGTGAGCTGATATGAAAATATAAGTATAAAGTATAAGAAATAAGTATTCAAGAGTTCCTTAGAGTTAAATGTGTTTACTGTTCAGTGTATTTTATGTTATAATGTATGTATCTGTATGCTAACACATAGTTTGTTATTAGAGAACCTCTGTACTACTGCCATGATCTGTTGTTATTTTTTACATCTTATTTAGTGCAGGACATGAATGCAAAGATAGAGAAAAGTTTTGGATTTTTGTGATTTATGTTGTTTTGCATGTACAATGTCCTGATGGAAAAAATAAAGCTACTTTTATTGAACTAAACTTACCTGTATGTGTGTACTATAACATGCCTCCAATGTAAGTGATGGAGGACAGTTCTTATTTTCTGTTTTTGTTTTCCTGGACAGTGTTTCTTTGTGAAATGTGATGGGGGGAAAAAAAAAAAAAGGGGGAATTTAAAAATAAAAATGAAAAGGGGGGGGGTGAGAAGGGGACCAGGAGGAAAAAACCAAAAAAAAGAGGAGGGGTAAAAGGGGGGTTTTATCCCAAACAAACAAAAAAAAAGGGGGGGGGGGGGGGGGGCGGAAGGAGGAGGGGGGGGGGGGGGGGAAGGGGGAAAAAACAGGAAAAAAAGGGGAAAGGGGGGGGGGAAAAAAAAAAAAAAAAACAAGGGAAAGGGGGGGGGGGGGGAGAGAAAAAAAAAAGGAAAAGGAAAAGAAAAAAAAAAAAAAAAAAAAAAAAAAAAAAATAAAAAAAAAAAAAAAGGAAAAAAAAAAAAAAAAAAAAAAAAAAAAGAAAAAAAAAAGGGAGGAAGAGAGGGGGGAAAACCGGGGTTAAAAAAAAAGAAAAAAAAGGAAGGAAGAAAGGAAGGAGAAAAAGGAGGGAGGGGAGGAAAAAAAAAAGACAAACACAAAAAAAAGAAAGGGGGGGGGGGGAGGGGGGGGGGGGGGGGGAGAAAAAACACAAAAAAACCCCCCCCAAACGGCCCCCCCCCCGGCGCCCCCCGGGGTTGGGGGGAGGGGGGAGAAGGAAAAAAAAAAAAGGGAAGAAAACAAGAAGAAAAGACGGGAAAACCCAACCCCCCCCCCCCCCCCCCCCCCCCCCCCCACCCCGGTCCAGGAACCCCCCCCCCCGGTCGGGCCCAAAGGCTGGGGGAGGGGGGGAGGGTGGGGGGGGGGGGAAAGGGGGGGGGGGGGGGGGGGGGGGGGGGGGGGAAAGGGGCAGGAGGGAAAAAGGAAAAAAAAAAAAAAAAAAAAAAAAAAAAAAAAAAAGAAAAAAGAAAAAAAAAAAAACACCAAAAAAACCCCCCAAAAAAATGCAAAAAAAAATTAATAAAAAAAAAAACAAAAACCAAAGAATCAACAAGCAACAAAAAATCCCCAAAAAAAAAAAAAAACAAAAAAAAAAGGTGTAGTGAGGAGGGGGGGAAGTGGGGGGGGGGGCGGCGGGGGGTGGGTTCCAGCCCCCGTTCTCAGGCCGGCTCCCCAACACCGCGGCCAAAACCGGCCGCACAAAGCCGGGGGCCCCCGCCCCCGGCCCCCCCCCCCCCCCCAGACCGAGAAAAAAAAAATTGAAAAATAAAAACAGAAAAAAAGAAGAAAAACCAAATGTGGCAGGGGAGGGAAAATTGGGGAAGAAAGGAAATTAGAGGAAAAAAAAAAAAACGGAGACCGATGTGGGCGGCGACGCACGCAAGGCAGCCCGTTGCTGGTTAGCCCGTTCTGTTGGCGTTGGATTGTGGGATGATGAAATGTGATGGGAAAAAAAAGAATGGGCCCAGGGAGTAATAACAAAAAGTGGGAATTTTAAAACTGAGATTGTAACTTTGTACATTACGGTGAGGCATCCACCCCACCACAAGGGGGGGGGGGAGGGCCGCACGGGGGAGAAAAAAATTCTTCGGGAAAAAGGTTTTTTTTTTGGGGGAAAGAAAAAAGGTTCCAGGGGTATGGGGTAATTAAAGCGGGCCACAAGTCAGACTGCTGAAGCTCAGTGGTGGGTCTCGTCATATTGGGATATTGCGAATTTATTCTTTCACATAATTAGGACTGTGGATTATGTTCGGAAACGCTGCAACAGATACGCACTGTACTTTTCTATATAGACAATAAAGGAACCTGTTCAGCATGTCCCCAACACATCATTTAACAAGGCCCGGAAAACAGCTGGCGAATTGTCAAACCAAAGGGCATCACCAAATATAAGAAGTCGCCAAAAGGGGTTGTTAAAGGCCTTCTCCCCCCCACCCCCCTCTGATCCTAACTAAAAGTTATGCGTTCAGGTTTACACTTTAGCCTTATGAAGGGGTTCAAATGCCGGGTCAATGAGAGGGAGAGGGTACTTATTCTTAATGGTGATGTCATTAAGCCCTCGATAATCAATGCAAGGGCGGAGGGACGAGGCTTTTTTTTTTAAAAAAAAAACCCTCGAATAAGCCCTGCCGCTAGTGAGTCACCTATATATTTCTCCATGGCTTCACATCAGGTCTGGAAAGGTTATACAGGCGACTAGACGGCAGAGTGGAACCAGGGAGCAGCTCTATAGCGCAATCATATGGCCTATGAGGAGGTAAGAAGACGGCAGGATAATTATTAAAAAAATCCCTCCCTTGTGGGGGGTAATCAACAGGGACGGGAGATAAGGGAGGGGGGGGGGGGGGGTATAGAGGAATGGGGAAAGTTAAACAACAAGAGACGAGAAAAAAAAAAATGAAGAAAACAAACAAATCAAAGAGAGAGGGAGAAAAACCACCAAAAAGGGGGGGGTGTGTTTTAGCCAGGGGTACCTAAATACAACGGGAGTGTTGGGTGATGAAATAACCTGTAAGCTAATCTCCTCACGGTGATTACCAGAAAGGATAAGTGTGAGGGGGAACGGTTTGCCGAGTAAATGTTGGCTAAATGTTTCCCGTTTACGTTTGCAACGGGTTGGTTGTCAGGGAGTTTGATAGTGGGAAGGTTGGCTTGAAGCCGAAAGCCGAGTCAATGAAACTCTCCTCGGCCCCTGGGGCGACCTGGGGCTGGGGGGGAATGGAATTTAACTTCCAGGGAAGGGAAGCTTTTCATTGAAAGAGAAAGAGGGGGGGAGGGGGGAAGGGGGGTCTGGGCACAGGAGCAACACCCCTTTCTCCCTTTTTTTTTTTTGGGGGGGGGGGCAGGGCCAAAAAGTGAGCGTTGGGGCCACAATAAATGCATAACCCGGACCTCATCCGGGGTTGCGTTCTGCCTGGAGCGGGTGCGACCCAATTGCATAGGCTCTTCTACGGGCTCGGGGGGTACCTGGCTCGAGGGGGCGTTTGCATGGGGCTGCTAACTGGGGATCTACTGAGATGGTGGCTCTGGGTAAGGCATGGAAAGGAGGGGCTTGTGGGGACCCCCCCCTCCCCCCCTGTCTCTAACGAATACGATTGTCAAGCCTAATTGCTAGTGAGATTAGCTCGTCAATGGTAGCAGCGCTGTCCCTAGCCGCTAACTCGTCCTTCATAACCTCCGACAGCCCATGCACGAAAATCTGCAACGAAAACAGTCTCCTTCATCCCAACCACTCTCTGCCGCTAAAACTCTTAAACTCGACTGAGAACTCAGCTACTGAACCAGAGCCCTGAAGAAGATTCAGTAAGGGTTAACTCCCCCTCCCTCGCACTGGATGATCAAAAATTTGCCGTCAGAAAATCGCTGGAAGGTTTTCACAAATAGGGAGTGCTTCTCCCACAGGGCGGTTGCCCACTGAGCTGCTTTCCTGACAATAAGCTTAATCACAAAAGCCCCCCGGGGCTATTAGAGCTGTAGGTCAACGGCTGTTGTTGGAAAACTAGTGAGCACTGAAGCAGAAACCGCCCCACAAGCCCCCAAATCCCCAGCATACCGTTCAGGTGTAGGGAACGTGTGGTTCCCGGGGCGGGGGGGGGAGAGGCTGCATGCGGCATGGCTGGGGAGGCAGAGGGAGTAGCTGCTTCAGTGGCGGTGGTAGGAGCTGTGGGAGGAGTGGAGACCTGATCGAGCTTGGATCCAAGGGCGGCCACACTGCAGCGAAGGTCTTGGATGGCTGCCACGATCCCGTCGAGGACCTTCTCGTGTTGGCCCACTCGTTGTCCCTGGTAGGCCAGTGCGCTTCGGACGGAGTCTGGGTCCGCTGGGTCCATGCTGGCCAGATTGTTCTGACAGGGCTGGTGTTAGGACTGGACCCAGGAGCAGACACCCAGACAGTATGGAAGGTTTAAAGGGGGGTTTTATTCCACGCACACACACACACACACAGGGGGATGAGGGGCGGCCACAGCAGGAACGGGTGGGTGAGATGGCGGAAGAGACCGGAGACACAGAGGCACAGGAGAGCGGACACAGGAAGCCAAACTGCACAAGGGACCCTGGGGCACGGGAGAGAAACGGTTAGACAAGGGGACACGCACAGGGATAACACAAGAGAGCTTGAAGTTGCCTAACTCAATACTGAGAGGAGCCACGAGAGTTACCACCACATAGGCTGAAACAATCTGGCGATGAATGGGAGGAAGACCGGGGTTCTTGAAGACTGAGGCATGATGAATGATTAGAGAGCAGGTGAGACAGCAGGCAGCAGGTGAGGAGAATGGAGGCCGCACCCCCAGACCCACGGGGAGGGGGGGGAGGGGGGGGGGGGGGGGGGGGGGCAGAGCAACCCATAGAGATTGTAACTTTGTACATTAAGTTAGCCACAAGTCAGACTGCTGAAGCCTCTTCATATTGGGATATTGGAATTTATTCTTTCACATAATTAGGACTGTGGATTATGTTCGGAAACGCTACAGATACGCACTGTACTTTTCTATATCAATAAAGGAACATCTTATCTTATGACAGTCCCTCCTGGAA